CACTTTATCTGATAGGTATATAAAAATGCCCAGTAATGCTGAACTTGTTAACGTACAACAGCAGTTTTACAAACAGGCTTCGTTTTCCAGAGTTATTGGATGCGTTGATGGAACCCATATAAAAATCCAATCTCCAGGTAAGTATTAACGAACTATTTTCTAAAAATTAATTGCTATGCAATGAATGTCCCCGAAGTATTTCGAAGAGGACCCCGAAGTATTCCGAAACAGAAAGGGGTATTTTTCAATTAACACTCAAGTCGTTTGCGATAGCAACCTAAAAATCATGGATTTGGTGGCAAGGTGGCCGGGATCTACACGATACCACCATTTTTATGAATTGTGCATTAAAAGCCAAATTTGAAGGACATTATTTTCCAAATTCTCTGTTACTAGGTAAGGTTATTTGTAGACAGATTCAGTCTGTTTCTAATAATGTATGAAATATGTAATTATTATAGGTGATTCCGGATACCCTTTAAAATCATACTTGCTAACCCCATTGGCTAATACTGGAACTAGGACTGAGCGGCTTTATAATGAGTCTTATATTCGGACGCGGAATTGTATTGAGAAGCTGTTTGGCGTCTGGAAAAGACGTTTTCCTGTACTAGCCTACGGTTTACGACTAAAAGTGTCTACTGTTATGTCAGTTATTCTGGCCACAGCTGTTCTGCATAATATTGCCAGAGCAAATAGTGAGCCGGAGCCTCCACCACCAGAAAACGTTAATTTGAACGAGCTTAATTATCTCATTGCAGCTGGACAAATCCCTGATATCCCTAATGTTAATTCCCATAATCTTAATTTTAGAAACACATTAGTGAACGACTATTTTGCAAACTTATAGTAGGTACTGCATGGATGTCCAAGGAAAACTAAACATTGCATTTACGTTATTATTACCATATTGCAAAAACATGTAACAATAAATTATATTTATATTTTCATAATATTTTCTTTTCATTGATGATTTGAAGTTTCAAGAGCTCCAATTTCAGAGCTTGTTCTTTTTTTTGAAATTTTAAATCGTTTTCCATCTTCTGTTTTCCCAAATCGGCAATTGCTAGCCATTTATCCATTAGCTGATCATATTTATCGGCTAACAGCGATAAAGCCAGAGATCGTACCGTGGTATTAGGGAGTCTTCGACCACTTGACATCTGGGGTGTGCGTGCCTGCTTTGCATAAAGTTTTATTAGATTCCTGATAATATTGAGAGCAACTTTAGTTTAATTTGATAAAACACTTACATGCTGTTGCGTTAGGTTTTCGGACAAAGACGTTTTCAAAGACCTTGCCTTCTTCCATTGAAATTGTCCTTCAAATAATGGCAAGGTAGTAATTTCGGGCGAATCAAGGATTTCAGATACATTGGTTTCAAGCGCATCCTCTTCGACATCATCTTCATCTATAAATAGAAATATACAGGGTTGCTCATTAGTGCGTCAAAGTGCGATATCTCAGTAAATATGAAGTTTGCAAGAAAATTCGTCCAACGAAAGTTTTTCACGTTTAAAAGGTCCACATTCTAAAATTACTTTCCAATATACAGGGTGCATCATAAACGTGTGGTAG